CAGAGGTGTTCTATAGGGCATGTATTAGGTATATAGCGGGTATTATATGAAGTGTTCTCTAAGATATTGTAATCAGCTTCCCTCTTTTTGATAGAGAATAGTCAGTTTAACTGCTTAAATAGGGGAAACCCATTCCTTGAAATTCTGGATAATGGTAAAAATTTGTGAACGTTTCACTTTATTTTTATCAATTTTTTCTTTAAAAGGAAAACAAGGAGATACATCCAATTTCAAGGTCCACCTTGGCTANNGGCTAGTTTCCCAGTAAATTTCTTTTGAAATTTGCTTTTACCCTAAAAACGGTGGATCTTTGGGTGGAGGTTGCATATATATATATAGGGTGTTACATAGGATAATGGAAAAGAACATGGAAACTACCATTTATGGTTGAGGGCTTTCATGGATTTATCGCCGCTTGCAATTACTACTTGGGAGAACACTTGTGTTCCCGAGATGCCTAGGGACGGTTAAAGGCTTATGACCACTTATGGATTATGACAATGATGCTCGGCTTAGGATACGGGACGTGGGATATACTGGGATAAATCACTAGAGAGATGCGGACCTATGTCTTCAGACATGAATATGCACTAGAACCCTGATCCACAATGATTGTGTATGATGTTTCTTCGTTTTCTTAAATGTTCTGGCACCAAGGTGCGATAGCGAGCCTTTCTTGTAAAGGCTGCCTTTCGGCCCCCTCGCTTTGTGCCACTACAATGTGTGAACTCGTAGGTTCAGAAAGATTTGGGAAGTTGATCCTTGGCCCGGGAATGTTCATGTGCAGTGCCAGGTAGCCTGGATTGTTTACAAATTGTCCATGGAAGTCCCGGAGCAAATGCTACACGAACACTGGAGCCCTAAGTCCTAAAACCCTAAAAGCCCAAACCCTTTAACATAAACCCGCAAACCCTACACCCCCAAACCCTAAACCCTGTAAAACTAAACCCCTAAACCCTACACGGGTTATTCAGGGGATACTAGGAGTTTGGACTGTAGTTCATATGGGGTTTGGATTGGGAACGCCCCCCCTCAGTAACAGTTGGATAATACTTATAATATGGTTATATATAGCCCTTAATGGGACCCTAATATAGACTGTTACTGGGTGGGGGCAGTACCCAAGGTTTGGATCATAGGATATGTAGGCCTCGTATGCCACTGGAGCCCTGTTACCAGAAAGGATGAGAACTCGCTTCTGGACGACGATGGCTTCATCCTGCGAGATGCCTGAGTTTAGGGTTCAGGGTTTAGGGGTGTAGGGTTTTAGGGTTTAGGGCTTAGGGGTTTAGGGTTTAGGGGTTTAGGGTCTAGGGTTTTGGGGTTTAGGGCTTAGGGCTTGGTAGGGTTCCCCCTCAAAGGGGTTAGGGGATTCATCAGGGCAGATAGCGATGTTATATTTTTTTCGTTTTTCGCAAGTGCTCTTATAACAAGGAGGACAGTATTTTGGTGTTCATTTTGGGGTCCCCTTATTTAGGGAAACTACCATGTACAGGGAGAAGCCCTGTGTCGATGGCGTTAGTTGAGGGTTATGCCACAGGTGCTGCCAGACCGCGACATCCGATGTTCACATCGAAGCTCCAAGTTCTCATATCGCCAGTCAAGACGTAAGCACAAAGCACCTGTAAGACTTCAAACAGCTGAGCGGTTCTTGATTGTCAGGGTTTGTGAGAAGCATAGGCTTCTGGCTGAGGCGTACGGCAAGACAGGCATGGTGGCAGAACAAGAAGCTGCTGCCTCAGATGGACCTGCCGACAAGAGTGCATGACTCCTCTGCCTACTTGCGCTGGTAGACTCAATCACATCATTAACGCTGCTGAATCGTTATGACAACAGTCTTTTCTTCTTCCAATGCTGAAGTAGTAGACTTGCACTGAATATCCTGGGGAACCGGCACCTGTAGCATCAAAGATGGCCACACTCACGGTATGCCGGGTGCGGCTCTGGACGTGCTGTTTTTGGCTGTGCTTGCTGCAGCTACGGACTGCGCACCAGACGTGTGGGTGTATGTGCTTTTTATGCGACATCAGCTCCTGCCTGGTGGTGTGGCATTTTTCCTCCGCTGCCTTCATAGCTGAAGGGCTCCACATGGAAAAGCCAGCAGATGCAGAAGCAGAGCAAGGATTCCCCCACGGTAAGTGCCTGGACATCACCACTGCAGCACGTATAGACTTGTCGCCTAGCGATTGACAAGTGTCTGCAAACCGTAGCTCGAAAGGTGACTGCCTGTCAGCTTAGTTCTCCTGCGCAAGTCACGATACTTCTTCCGGAAGATAATATGTTTGCTCAGAGCGAGGTGGAAAGCAACTCAGAAAATTGCATACAGTACGTCGCGCGGTCTCACAGCATGGCCTTGAGCACCGCTTTCGTGCGGATAGCCGGAGGACGCGCGCAAGATGCACTAAGATAGCCTCTCAGCCTGCTTCTACAGGGGTCCTTGGGATTTCCTTTGGCCTGGTACTGTTTAGGTGGACCCCCCACCCAGTAATAGTGACTATAGGGGATAATAGGGATTATACTAAGATCCTCTCATATTCCCATTATACCACTATTACAGGGTGGAGGGTCCTCCTAAGGTACTGTATAGTACAGCCCCTTACCAATTCTAGGACTCCTACTACAAAAGAGGCCCCATGTTACATACTTGTTTGCCACATTTACGCACACGCTGACATGCTCTTGTTGCTAACGTGGTTGACATACTTGTAGCTGAGCCAGAAGCAAACCCAGGGTCAGGGCCGGGGGGTTTAGAACCTGTAGATCTGCGGTAAGAAGGCTATAAAGGCATGGCTTTGCAACGTGTCATAGAGAAATTGCCACAATTCCCGGTTGCTCAGCCTGCCTTGTCCTACGCCTATCAACAGGAATTGCCTTCAATTCTACAATCGTATAGACTTGCTCATGGCTCTGCCCAAGAGCCTCCGCAACATCAACCACAGCACTCGCAAGGTTAGGACCCCTAACCAACATCAAGCCAGGGGAGGCTAGTCGCAAAGACCATCTGAATCTAGAGTTGGATCGACAGTTAGAAGGCACATCGAAATACATCCTCCAGGGGTTTGGATCAATTCTGAGTGCAGGAATATTCAGGGGGTTCATTTGGTTCCCCTAAACATACCGAAGTCCATTCAGATCGGTGCTTTTCAACTGTGACTTTGCGAGACCCACTGATGCCAGGCAGACACCAAGATGCCTGAGCGCGGCTTGGCAGCCACACACATTATGTCCTGTGTTACTCTTATTACTACGAGTGTTACTCTGCAAACTGTTCTTCTTCTTGTTGATATCATTATATGATATAAATATAAAGAGAAAGCATTACCCCAATAATAGTGGAGAATCAAATGGACAATAGAAAGGGAAAATGCAATGACAATAAGATTTGTCAAGGGGTTATATAAGAGAATGTAGCAGCCTGCCTGGCCTGCCTAATTACCAATACCCTTACATTACCCTAAGTTGGGCTTACAGGACTCGCAAGGGTGGGAACTTAGGCCGTAATGGAGCGTAGCTGGATGGTTAGGTCTAGATTACACCACTACTTGGCCCTCAACCCCAAACCCGATGATTTCACTATATGCCTAACATGCTCGATCCCCCTGTATCTCCTTATGCGCCTACAAAGCTTTTCAAAACAAAAGAGCATTTCAAGCCCCATGTCATAAAACGGCTTAAGCTCCCAGCTTCTAAGCTTCATGGCATTTCCTCAGGCGATGGCCTGTGCAAGGTACCCATGCTAGTAGTTCAAGAGGTTGTTCAGGGATGACCTAGACAGGCATCCTAAACATCAGCGGCCCTACAAGAAAAGGCATCTATAAATGGACCATCATGTTGACAAACCCAAGCCCAAAACCGCATAGCCCCACTTTCTCGAAGCAAGGTCCTGCCCAGAGCTCCGCAGAAGATATCGTCATCTTCGAAGGGACGTTTAGCTGGTGGGCAGCATGGTGCATGATGATCTGGGTGTCCTGGCAAACATCCTGTGGAAAACTAGAAACTCTGCTGAGACCAGAAAGCCCAGCCCAAACCAGCACCTGTAGAAACTTGGGCTTTCGCATAGCGAAAGAAGCTTTAAGATGGTGCTTGGTTATTGCAAATATGCCCATCTAAATGGGAACCTATATGGGAGTTTCTCCCTAATATAGAACCCACGTCAACATAACCCTCATACTAGGTAACCCTAAAAAGGGCCCCGAAGTTAATCTAATTCATGGAAACCCTGGTCTCAGCGTTTCTGTTCTCTGGTTAATACAGTCCCTCTTCGATCGGCCATACATTTAGAGTGTATGTAGGAGGACTGCTTGGTATTGAGGAGCCCCATGAAAGTGCCCATTTGAGCTATAGTCTAAACTCCTCAAGGGGGGTTATGTAGGGCTTATTTAGGGGAGTGTATTAGGGGGTATGAAGGGGGATAGTAGGAGAATAGACCATGGCGCATATGAAGTAGGACTTAATCATTGGATTCGTTTGTTTGTAGGGTTCCGCGCGCATAGTTTCGAGCGTGTGTACAGGTGTCCAGCCTGGGACACCATATCATATGTGACAGTTGAAGAAATTGTTGGGGTCCTTTTCTGAGGGGTCCCTATGAAACCACAAATTCTGGTGTGTTATGTTGGGTTTATATGGAGACTACATATGGCAGTTTCTCTAAAGTATAGTTCATATTTGGAGTTGTATCCTGGAAGACAGCACGCACTTGAGAGTTTAACGCCGTGCTCTTAGAAAGACCAAGGTGGAACGTGTCTACCTGCAAAAGCACACTCGCTGAGTTTCCCGTGTGGTACCAAGGGTTATTATCAGAACAGCAAAAGCAATGCTTGGGGTTAACACGTAAACCCTAAACCCTATACATCCCTATATGGTAGTTTCCCAAAAGAGCGGGACCCCAATATACACACCAAAATAATAGAATCCTTAATATGGGGACCCCCAAAAAGGTACCCCTAATTTTGGGAAACCCTAGTCCCTAAACCCTAATCCCTATACCCTAAACCCTGTACCCGACTGTCCTGCCGTGCTTGCTGTGTGCAATGCACGGCAATGCGTGTGTCTAAACCCTATACCCTAGATTTTTGGGAAACCCCTAAACCCAAATCCCTAAACCCTAAACCCTATATATCCTCCATATAACCCCTATATAACCCTATATACTATATATCCCCTATAAGCCCCTTGTACGGACTGCTATTCAACTTCTCGCCTTGGCTTTTCAGGTGCTTTGCTTCCTTGCCAGCTCAGTCAGCACCTCATGGGCTGGGGAGTGCACGGAGTGTTGGCCTCGAGTTGAAGTGTTTGGTGGGTGGACGAACTTTGGGGGGCTTTAGATATAGTATATTAAGGTATATACTTATGTTGGGTTTATATACGGGTTATATGGGGACAATGGAAAATTACATGAAGAAGACGCGTGGCATCTGCTACAGAAGCGCCCTTGTTGTCGGTGTTGTTGAAGCCTGTTGAATCGCAAGTCTTTGATGCTGCTGCAGGCAAGCCAGGACTCATCAACCTGTTGTGCCATGCTACGGCTTCCGCTCGGGCATATCGCCACGGCCATTGTATGGCTGTAGTATACCAGGCTTTTTACTTAAAGATACTTCCACATTCAATTTTCACTTTTGATAGCCTAGGCCAGCAAGAAGTTCTTCTAAAGCGACAAGAGATGGGACGCCGTAGCGGTATTTGTAGTGTAGTCCCTAGCTTTTTTCTAAGGAATCAGCACAAATTGGGTCCCCATCCAGCAATAGTGGCGCAACAGGAAGATTCCAGGGACCCCATGCAAGATGCTTACCATCGTCCCCCGTGGTCACTATTTGCGGCTGAGGTCGTGAGGCCAATTAGGGGTACCTTCATGGGGGTCCCAATAATGAATGAGGTTTATAGTCTTTTGGAGTCTATATTGGTGTCGCCCATTCTGGAAAACTACCATTTGTTCGGAAGCCACTGTGGGGTGGATGTATACTTTATAGAGGCCCTAACAGTCTCCTACCGCCCCAAATTGACCCTAAGCCGGACCCTCGCTCCAGGTGCTTATGGTTCTCTCCACTCGCGGTTCCGCTTTTGAGATCATCTCTGAAGAGATCTCGTTCGTGAAGGACTTGCCGCCCTAAACCCTAAACCCAGGTGAGCAGTAAGAACTCAATTTGGAGGTCGCTGGGCTTGCCAGGCTACGCAACTAGTGGATTCCTGGCGTGCGCCAGACTTGAACCTACATGTATAATGCGGGGATTTTAGTTACCCCGCTTCCTATACGGCCCTATCACTATCATCTTACAATAACAGAGTCCTAATTTTAGGGGTTGGAGTAACTAGAGCCCTCTTTGCTAGAGGACTGTCACATAGCCTGCACCCAGCTTTCAGGCTTTTGCGCACTCAGCCTGTTTGTTGACGATCGGCATCCAAGCAGTAAAACAGTAGCCCGACCACAGCTACAAATCAGCTAAGCATGTTCTGGTATAATCTGCATGTAGCACGGGTGCGAACCCTAAACCTTAAACCGGGTATTCCACTTTCAGAGCTCAAAATAGGTACGGTTCGTATTATGTCAGGAGGATCCCAGGAAGGGACGTTTGATTTTGGGAAAACCCCATTCCATTCCCTTACGGCACACCGTCAGCCCGAAAGTGCACTAGCAGCAGTTGCTTAGATGGTCCAGATACCCAAAAGCAACCAACTTACCAGGTACTTCAAGTAGTTCCCCTTAAGTAGATAGAATATGGCTTTGGGTATGTTATAGTAAGATCTCCATATACCTCATATTCTATCTACTTAAGGGGGACTATACCCTAAACCCTAAATAGTAGCTTCTATTTTTCCATTTTCTTTTCCATTATCCCAAGATAACGCCTGTAACCCCTATATCTACTTAAGGGAGACTGGGGCTCTGTTAGCCAAATTTCCAAATTAGCAATACAAAAATATTTTCGGATTATCTCAAGTAATCTGGTGCGCTGTCAAATACATTACTGTGAAAAACATATATCCATGGAGCAAGAATCACTTCCAGTAATCTAGGGGTTTGGGACAATTTTGCGGCTTCGGGGTTGCAGCTTTGAAGTATTCGAGCAAGGCTCCCAAAATTATTGGCTGTTTTCCGATCAAACCCCATCACTTCCAGGAATCCACGGCTTTAGGGAGCTTAGGGCTAAAAAATCTCTGGGGGTGTCAGTTCCCGGTTCTATTACAGGCGTTGGGCCCCAAAATGACAGCTATTTACTTGCTAACGGATCAGACAAGGAATCTACGATTTAAGCAGCTTCCGGTGTGTGCAAGCTCAAGTGGCCAAGCGCTGACGCCCAAACTGACTGCCATTTTCCAGTTGTGCATACGATGATCACCTTTGGGCTGACAGCCAGGGAAGGGAAGCGCTATACGAGGTCTTGAAGGCTTAGAACTCGGCCCCAGCATCAACAAGACTCAACAAGAACAGGTTGATGAGGGTGTGATTTGAAACCAACATTAGCTCCAAAAAACAACCCAAATCTTTCAACCCCAAGCTAAGCCCGACACAAGTGATTGCAAGATCCTAACACCTTAAACCCTGAACATGTTCAACCCCGAGGCTTCTCAGATCGACCAATCAAGACTGCGACCAACTGCCCTTCAAAGTTTGTCTGCTGTGCTTCAAGTTCAGG